TATCACCTTATTTTGATTAAACCTTTTCCAATTTTGCAAACACTACAGCATACTGCAACACAGAAGATTTTATCTGTAAACACAAAGCCCTTCATCTAATATTTGTTGCTATTGCCAATTTTCCAATGAAATGACCTAAAAATGAAAAAAAAAAAAACCCTATACAGTAGTTGCTTTAGGGGGAGGGGGGGTGCTCTCTGTTAGTGCTTCAAAGGGGGTAATGCTTGCCGCTGTAGAGGTGGATGGTGCTCATAAGAGGCCCCATCGGGGGTGTTTAAAATGGACTGAACAGAAACCCTTAGCTAGTAGAATGGCAGCACGCTGTAAAATTATTACTGTATCGTGTACTGGCTATAAGATGTAGACACCTTTCAGTAAGCCAATCGTTTGTAACCATTCTAGCAGTGTCATATTAGGTTAATAAGGCTGCTGTGTTTTAAAGGGCATTTTTATTTGGGTTTTGGTGAAATTCTTTAATTTGTTGATTCATATAAAATCAGCATTCATTGACACATCGCTCTAATGACATTATGTATGAAAAACCATACACTGGATGACCTAGTCAATTATTTAAGCATAAAATAAATTGTGTTAAACTCTTCACCTATCTCTGCTCTACAGTGTCCTTGTGTTCTCCGGCAAAAGGTAATTGCCTATCTGCTCATCATTCTGGTGTCCCTGACCCCCTCACCAGGCCTGTTCATGCCTCTGCCTCTGTGCCTACCGAAGGGACCGCCCCTAATGTTCAGTTCTGCCTTGCACACTCCCACCCTCCATACATTCTGGGCATCTCTCGGCGGAACCATGAATTAAAGATTAACTATCAATTGATCTTTGTTCACGTCTGGGTTGGACTACACACCCCTCCCCGCCACCAAGAAAAATGGGGAATTGGACTGTAGGCTGGGGCCAGCATGTCCAGAAGTTGTACATGGGCATCTCCACCTGCCACTGCTTTTAGCCGTTATGCAATTGTTTTTTTTTTAACTGACATTCAATTATAAGTTGGGAGATTTCACATAGTAACCCACCTTTCTAACTTCTCTTGAAAAGCAAGGGTTGGCAACAACCTGCCAGGCTGTGCTGCCCTCTGCAGCCAGGCGCGTGGTCTCCAGGCACCTGTCGGTCTCGCCTCTTGCATCTGTGTGCCCTGACTAGCCTGGTAGGCACTGAAGTTTGTGATCAGACACTAGGTGATCAGTTCAACGGAGGGAGAGGCCATGGCGGTTTTAATATTTCTTCTAGCCCAGAGCCTGGCAGACAGCAGTGGTGACAGTGGCACTTACCATCATGGCTAAAATTGGAATGACACCCTATGTCAGACTCTTCTAAGTGCACTGTATTTATTACATCATTTAGTCCTCGTGACCACTTTATGGCGGTAGGTACTATCTTTGGTAGTGACAGTCCCCACATAAACATTCAACAGGTGCTTAGGCCCATTCAGCAAAGTCACATGTTGCCTGTCTGTTAAAGATCACTGCCAAATGGAATGAGTTATTCCCAAGAGGGGTTCAATATCAGTGCAGAACACAGGTATAGACAAGCAACTTTGCATAAATAAGGGGGCTGGACTGCATGAGTATGGTGTCCCAAATAAATGGATGCACCCCACCCCATGCACCAAAATCATCCCATGACTCCTCCCCCAACCCTGCCCCACCCCACCGAAAGGTTTTTAAAAACACCCAAAAAGCCTCTCTGTAAAACCGGGATCAGAGTCCAGGTGTCCTAACTTCCACTGAAGGCTTATGAATTTTTGGCTCAAAGTCCTTGACAAAAATGTGTTTATCTTGAACTAGAAAGTCAATGAAGTGTACTTGTCTGGGTACTAAATGTTACGTGTATGTACCTAAAAATTTGAATTTAGGTATATACTAAAGGTCAGGCAAAAATTCATTAATTTAATAAGAAGCCAAAATAGGATGATCAAGATTTTATTTACATATGTGTGTATTTGTACATATGTGTTTGCATGGATTGAACTGGAGGCACACATTATATATTCCTAACACGGTTTTCGACCTCCTGGCTTATCAAATGTATTTAAGCTCTTCCTTAATTGACATCACTATAAAAAATGAACTGTGATGATAGATTCCTGATATTTTCTGTTTTTCAATTTTATATTCCTATCAAGTTCCTGACTTTGTTAAATTAAAATATATTATTGCTATTAAATTGCCAAGTTACAACAATACACTGTGCAGAGTTGTTCCACCATTTCCAAGAGGGATCTCCTTCATCGAATGCATAAGCAGTCAGCTTCTTTCCTCTATTAATAAATACTGCCATGACATCCTGGTGTTCCAACAAGTTCATTCGTTATCTTCCTGGGCTCCATCCAGACTGATATATAAACAAAAAATCTGTTTGCTTGCCTTTATGGGCATCAGGTCACAACAGGGATATGCGAGAAGCCCAGAAATAAAAGTCACAGGAGTGATAATTCATCCCTTGACTCTGAAGAAGCCACTGATCCAAAAACTGGCTTCTGTCTGAGTGAGTCTTGGTATTCTCTTGGTTCTGGCATTTTAAAAGGTATGCGATTTCCTAGTCACATGGCACTGCTTCTCTTTCATGAATTTATGACCAAATAGTCCAGAAATAAATGTTTCTAACATTAATACTTGAGCCAAACAGGAGCTTTTTCAGTAAGAAACAAAAAGACAGTGGTATAATTTACATGGTTACCTAGCTAACAGTGCACCAATACTAAATAAATATATACGTAAATAAATAACAGAATGGACCCGAAAAACATCCTTAGTAGTACACACTGTGCAGGGGTGCTCAATGTTTTGGCATCTCTGGGCCACACTGGAAGAAGAAGAGCTGCCTTGGGCCACACATTAAATACACACAAACACTAACAAAAACTGATGAGCAAAAAAAAAGGTGCCAGGTAAATTTATAATTTTGTGTCAGGCCACATTTATAACCGTCCTGGGCTGCCTGTGGCCTGCATGCCATGGGTTGGACACGCCTAATTAAATACAGACCATTCAAAGCATATCAAAATGAAATTGACCATTATATCTGCCACACTCAATGACTGATACCTATGAGTAATCTGTACAGCTAGGCAACCCTGCAGTGAAGACATTTTATTCTTTATTCCTTGGTGCTTTCTGAGTTAAGGAATAAACGCCCCGAGGGTTGCATTTCCAACAGCACATCCTGAGACTCCACCAATTCCAAAGGTGTTCCAAAGCAGAGATGAACTTGCTGAGAGGATCATAAAGTGGTTTCAAAGAAACACTAGGCTGTGGGAGGTACCCCAGAAGCAAGAACTGTCAAGATTTTTCCTCCAGGGCCACCTTAAAACATCCTGTGGCTAACCCAGAGAAATAGGTGATCTCCCTGCCTAGTTTCCCCAAATATCCTCAACTGCCACTTCTCTTCTAAAATCTAACTTAAGCAATGGCACAGTTCTGAGAGCTGGGAAGGAGTGATGAACTGTCGGCTCTTCAGGAGTTCCAGCCCGTGACGCACACCACCAGGTCCTTGTACTAAACTGCACACTGCCTGAGGGTGAGGACTTTGTGTCCTTGTCTGCTGCAACCACAGCCCCGGGAGCACTGGCTGACATTTTGTATGTAGGTGCTCAGTAAGTGCGTGTTCAGTTCATGAGCGAATGACTCAAACACCAGAGGGCGAAGGACAGTAAATGGGAAATGTGACTCTGCACCTAGTGTGCACCGTTTTCTGTACAGGCTCAAGCAAGAGGAAAATCAAAGGAAAGCACAGCTTTTGCTCCTAATAAATTCACTCACTGAGGACTAACTTGTGTCTCTATCCTCCACTAGCCCTTTCCAGCTGCACAATCCCCTCATTAGCCACAAAGTCTAAAATAACAGGGTCTGGATATCCAATACCGTATGAGCAAACAGCACACCAGTCATGCTGCCGAGTGCAGCATCTTCCCCATAGCCGTGGGCTGTCGTCCTCACCATCAGGCCACTGAGAACCCAGGCAAGAGTGTGGAGAACTTGTGAATCCTAAGCCTCATCCATATGAAAAAGTCAGATTGATCTCCTCTCCTTCAGACATGATATACAAATCTTTAAAAACTGGCTTCCTCAAAAATTTCACCTCAGTGTTGCAAAGTGTTTGTTAGATTGGTAATAGACCAGAAGGTACAGAAATTATATCCTTGAAATCCTTGGGTCACATCCAGCCTGCAGAGATGTTTTGTTTGTACAGCAGAGTTGGAAAAAAGATGGCCAACATTTCTTTAAAAAGGAGTTTTTATTTTTTTAATTTTATTTTAATCATTATTCAAGTAGTTTTCTCCCTTTTACTCCCATTCCAGCCCACCCACCCAACCCTCCCCACTTCCCTCCCATTACCTCCCTCCCCCTAGCTTTTGACCATGTGCCCCCTAAATTTGTTCCTGCAAACCCTTCCCATTCTCCCCTGAAATTCCCTCTTCTCTCCCCTCTGATCACCGTCAGTCTGTCCCCTATTTCAGTGTCTTTGGTTATATTTTGCTTGTTTCTTTGTTTTGTTGTTTAGGTTCCTGTTAAAGGTGAGATCATATGGTATTTGTCTTTCACTGCCTGGCTTGTTTAGCTTAGCATAATGCTTTCCAGCTCCATCCATGCTGTGGCAAAGGGTAGGAGCTCCTTCTTTCTTTCTGCTGCATAGAATTCCATCGTGCAAATGTACCATAGTTTTTTGATCCATTCATTTACTGATGGGCATCTAGGTTGCTTCCAGCACCTAGCTATTGTAAATTGTGCTGCTATGAACATCAGGGTGCAAAGGTTCTTTTGTATTGGTGTTTTAGTGTTCTTAGGATATAGTCCCAGCAGTAGAATTGCAGGGTCAAAAGGCAGATCCATTTTTAGTTTTCTGAGGAAGTTCCATACTGCTTTCCATAGTGGTTGTACCAGTCTGCAGTCCCACCAACAGTGCACTAGGGTCCCCTTTTCTCCACAGCCTCTCCAACACTTGTTGTTTGTTGCTTTGTTTATGATGGCCATTCTGACTGGTGTGAAGTGGTATCTCATTGTAGTTTTAATTTGCATCTCTCTGATAGCTAGCGATATTGAACATTGTTTCATGTGTCTTTGGATCTTCTGTATGTCCTCCTTGGAGAAATGCCTGTTCAAGTCCTTAAAAAGGAGTTTTTAGATGAAAAACAAGTTCCGAGTTCTCTTTAAAATCTAAAGCAGTGAAAATGTTGTTTCAAAATTCCTTATGATAACAGCAGCTTAGAATAAGACCACCCCTGCCACATTGGACAAGCATGCGTTTTACTGTTCACCATCGTCCATCCTTTTCCCGTTGCCTCTAAAACCCAATCCACTTTACTCATTTCTATTCCCAGTCTCTGTTTGATATGATTGGAGGAAGGGGAAGAAGGCAAAATTATGAGATCATGCTTAAATGCTTTCTTCTTATGACAAGCAAAACAACTAGCTCATTTTCATCCTGCTTCAGTGCCAAATGAAAGGTGGAAGAAGCGAGTGAGAAGATGGATGGTATGGTTTTCCAAACCCAAGCATCCATCCATCCATCTATCTCATTTGACATGTATCAGTGCCTGCCACTTGGCTGCTCTCCTGGGTACAGGATACATTCGTTTCTTGCCTGCTTCCCTTCAAAATGAGAACACAAACAGCCCAGTGAGGAGTCCAAATCTAAAGCTTCCAGGAAAGGAGACTGCTGCACACACATCAAGCTGTAGGAGGTGCAAGAGAGCCAGCTGCGCAGCTGCTGAGTGCAACCACTGTAGTTTCACAATTGAGAAGCAAAGCCTGAAAAAAATACCAATTTTGGTAGAAAACTTTTAAAATATTTCAAAGGTATTTAAACAGCTCTGTAAGAAAACACATCCCCATCGTGCTTCCCAAAATTCCTGATCTAGATGAAGCCAGTTGAAACTTTGAACTCATGCTCAATGTCCTTTACTTGCGTCAAGGCCCTCATAATTCTGACCTCTTCACAAAGCTTCCACTGCTCACGCCAACCCGCATGGCAAACTCATAAAAACTAAATGAGTGTCCCATGATTCATCTCTCAGGTCTATGTCCCCGAGGGTTTCTCTGGACAAATAGTTCTTCAAGAACAAGGACTGAGCTTTTCCACAGTTCCAAGAGCAGAGCTGGGTGTACAAAGGCTATCATAAATATTCAGCTTCACATGCCTGATCATTTACTTGTTCTCAATGGTTCAGTTTTACCAGGTCCAGCTCTGATGCAAGACACACAGATGACTTGGCCTGGGGGCACACCCCATCCCTGGACAGCAGTGTTTGGGCACAGGGGAGAGCAGAACCAGAGCCCCCTCATGGCCTGGATTGCTAACACAACCATCATGTGCCTTGCCTTGGGGAAAGCCTAAAGCAAGTAAATAAAGGGTATCTAAGGAAAAGCCTGTGAAGCCTTAACCCATTCAAGGAAGATAGACAGTCATATAGATAAATGCTCACATGGATAGGTGGACATAGTGGGGACAGCTGTAGCATGGTCAGCTTTAGAGTAACTCATGCTTCTGGTATGATAAAACTTTGAATTCTCAAGTTCCATAGGCCAAAGCAGTCACAATCTCAAATGTCTGCAGGCTAGGTAGCTTGTCTAAATTAGGCAAATGGGTTGCAGTGGACTGCATAAATTATTGGCTGCCTCTCCCTGGTGGCAGATTATACTTCCCTTCCCCATTGCCCTCATCTGAGCTGTGCCACTTGCTTTGGCCAAGGGGCTCTAAGAGCAAGTGCGCTTTCCTTCCTGCTCCTTCTTCCCCTACTTCGACACCACAGACTGCTCCACACAGACTGCTCCTGGGCCTGGTGCCCGAGGGAAGGTGATGTGGAGCACAGCCACAGCTGACCCACCATGGACATGCAATGTGGGCAAGAAATAAACCTTTCTAGCAAACCACTGCACTTTTCCAGTCACTTGTTACTGTAGCCTAACCCATGAATAATATTCAAGTCATGTAGAAGACATTAAGGGGTAGTGAGTATTGGGTAAGCACGTTCCTTTCCCAAAGAGTCTGACTCCTGAGAATACAAGCCTAGCTCTGCCTCATTTTCCTGGTTTTTAAATGTTGGTAATCAACATGATTTTTCTTCTTCAATATTGTGTGGGTCAAACCAAACATGCATGTGGGCCACCCGTCTTCAACCTCTGGGTCCCAGCATCTGCAGAGTGAACACACACCAGAGTCATGCTATACAAATGAACTGATGTGTGATTTGTAGTTACATGCTATCCAGCTGGGGTGCATAAGCCAATAACCGAATTCCAAGTTGGCCCGATGGCCTGCCTAACACCTCCACCTGGGTGTAGCTCGTTTGTTCCCTACGTCCATTTCAAATGCTGAAACTCACTCAGGCTCTGAAGGGCTCACTGGGCCTTTTAACTTGTATTTGACAGCATTTTAGTGAAGGGTTGATCTTCACTTGTGCATCTGGGCCTGATGTGGCCCCTGCCGACCCCTGGAACCACACCACGTCCTCTCACCATTTTCTCTCACCACATTCCAGGCCAGTGACAGAGTATAACCCACACACTCTCTCACCCTAAGAAATTTTGGGTGCCTATCTGCAAAGGGATATTGTTTTAAAAACCTGCAAACCAGCTAGGTTACTAAGCATATTTTTTAGTTCTGTTGACTTAAACACACACACACACACACACACACACAGTAAGGCTCCCTTGAGAAGGAAATGGCATAGATTTTCAGTTCAGTGCAGGTCCCTTATCGTGTCATAGGTGCATGCTCTCCACAGTACAGATCCAGCTTCCTTTCTGCTCCTCAAAAATGCCAAGCTCCTCTTTACCTGGTTCCTGTCCCATTTGTACTTACCCTGTGCCAGGGAAAGTCTCATCTCGAGCTCCAAGTGTCGCAGTCTTAGGCCTTCCCTGCATACCCCTCTAAAGTAGCCTGACTCCCTCTGATCCAATTATTCTGTCCTATAACCATAGTTATTCCATTTATAGCATTTATCATTATAGTATACATTTTTGTTTATTTGTACAATACAGTAGATTCTCTCTTCCTTATTCATTGCTATATCCAAAACATCTAGCACAAGGCCTGGTACCAGTAGGTACAAAATATATTTGATGAATAAGTGTATTCATCACACGTGTTGAATAAATAATTAAGGGGTAAGAGGGAAGCACAAACAGAGTATAGAATACATATCTGAATACTGTGAATATCAAGGAAAAATAGCAGCATCTTCAGTGACTCATTGTGAAGAATCAAAAAGACGTCAGTTTGCCTGTGCGGGTTGGTGTGCTTCTCACCCCCAGCGAAGACTTGCTGAGAAGAGCTTTGTAACTCAGCTCCTCCTCCACAGCATTTTATAAAAGCTTCATTACTGTCAGGTATGATCACGGTGTTTTTCCATCCTGTGCGGAAGACATGTGATGGGAAGGCTGTTAAAGTTATCTGGTATGTGTCACGGCATCAGATCTTCAAATAACTCTTTGAATCACCCAAACACAACACCACCCCTGCTAACCTGGTACTACAAATATGAGCCATCTTTCTGGATGAAACAAAAATCCTGTCAATGGAACAATAACAGAAAAGAGCAGCTGAGACAGCTGGAGTGCCTCCATTGCATGCCGACTGCAACTTTCCCTCCTCTGGCAGGGTCAGCCTGCAGCTAGAATTGAAATCAAGAAGCAAGCGCTACAGCACCTCGTGCAGAGCATTTGCACCTCGTGCAAAGAGCAGGAGGGACTGTGGAAAACTTGAGGGCACATGCCCCAACTAAAACCACAGTAGTTGGTTAATTCTAACAAAATATTAGAAATGCAGGTGCTGAATTGTCAGCTTTTGTTATTTTTCTAGAACACAAATCTGGCTGAGGGGATGGAAGTGGGGTATGAGTGTATATGAGTATGGGTATGCATCAAATCCAAATCAAATGCTATTTTTTTAGTTTATACTACGTTCAAGTCACTGTCATAGATAGATAGATAGATAGATAGATAGATAGATAGATAGATATCCATCTTAGATATGCATCTGTGTATCAAAAATAAAAAGGAATGAGAGCTGGGACCTATAGACTAGACTCCAAAAGCTTTAATCTCATTAGTAAACCAAGATATGTCAAGATATATTCTTAAATAAATAGAACATACAACAATCTGGGGTACTACATATTAAATACAGAAATGTGCATAAAGCAAAAGACAACCCTGACACAAAGAGATGCAACCTGTGTTGGCTAGTAATAGTTAGGATTATTAAGAGTATTATTACATCATCGTCACAACTATGATCTCAGGATTACCCTTGACAAAGTAAACTGGAGAAGGCCTAGCAGAGAGTTTTGTTCATATTGGGCACTCAATAAACACTAGCTATGTGAGTAGGGATTTGAGAAATGAGTAGGATATTAACATGTGAAAAAAGAGGCCTAACAAACAAACAAACAAACATACATAAAAAAGGAGGCTAGAAGGACAAAGGCATCCAGGAAGCATGAACAAAGTTTGTTTTGGTCAGAACCTGAGAAGAAAGGGTAGGAGGCCAGGATGGAAAGAGAAATTCCCCATGGAGAGCCACTCAAGACTCCATGTGGATCCCAACAAGCACTGGGGCACCACGTAAAGCCTGGCTCTGGATTGCATAAATGCCTGCTCGGGCCAGAACAAGGCCAGTTTTCAAAAGCAGCCCTGCACTTCAGATATTGAGGACATGGAGAACAGTTTATGTGTGCACATGCTTTTACACAGTGTACCTCACTCTGTACTAGTTATGTGACCTGGAAAATGCAGGTGATGGCTTTTATCAACTACAAATGGTGGAAATGAGCTCATCTACATAAAGCATTTCAAAAAACATCTGGCACAGAATGAAGTGCTCCATATGTGTTGCCTATGTGTTTATTAGTTGTGGTGGTGTATGATAATGAGAGGTAAAACAGAGGAGAAGGTTCTACTTGGCCTCTGTGGTTGGTGAGTAGCGGTATAGCTAGGAGGCCTATGACAATCCTTCACGCTCTAGGATGCTAGAGACCAGGGACAGCCACCCAGAGACCAGGGACAGCCACCCAGGGGCTCCGTGGTCCAGCCCCACCCCATTACTCTCCAAGTGCCCCCCTCTCCCACCCTTGCCCCTAGACTAATGGTCCTCCATTCCCAGCCGAGGGACAAAGAAGTGAGCATCCTGCTAGACGATTCCCCTCTGTCACCACCATGCTGCCCCCACCCTCTCCAGAGTTAGTCGCAACTTCTTTCCTAAAGCAGGAAGGTCCCCTCTTCACACAAGAGCCTCTAATCTCATTCTTTTTTCTCCAAATCCACTTCATGTACTTCAGAAAAACATATTTATTGTTGTTGTTCAGAGGTGTAAATGTGTGTATGTCTGGGGTGAGGAGTGGAAGTAGTGTCATGGGAAACTTGTACCCAGAACCTTTTCTTATGAGTCGGGCCCAATATTACACCAACAAATTAAAATAAAAAGATTTTGATTCTTGGACAATTTATCTACCTCTTCATCATCCAAACTAATATGAAATATCAGAGCTTGCCAGGTAGAAATGAGAACAAATTCCCTTAAAAAATCAAACAGGATATTAAAATGGGGCGTTGCCTCTTCCATGTATAGCCATGGTGGGTGTCCAAACCAGGAGCACCCTGAGTTGCAGGTGCGCATGGGAGACCACACCACACTAAAGATCCATATTCACAGGCAGCAGAGTCAGGGCCACAGTTGGGACTGGCGATGGTTATTCTCATGAGGACACTGAGAGGCTTTTGAAAGCAATAACCTGGAGGCAAAGCTGAGTTTGGCAACCAGGTTCCTGGCGCTGTGGCAGGAACGCAGCATGACTGATAGTGATGGAAGGAAGGGGTATAGGAGGGGCAGGGGTCGAAGACAGTCCCGATCTTTAAATGCACCCCACTGTAATTGTTCTGAAAACATTTTATTCTAAAGATACAGGTTTCAAATTGTCTGTGGGGAAATTAAATTGTTTTGTTTTTTTTTTTAAATAGGCCTGCCCTGGCCAGGTGGCTCAATTGTTTGGAGCATCACCCATTACACCAACAGGTTGCGTGTTTGACTCCTGGTCAGGGAGTCAAAACATACCTAGGTTGCAGGTTCAACCCCTGGTTGGGCACACATGGGAGACAGCCTATCAATGTTTCTCTATCTCTCACCAATAAACATATCCTAGGGTGAAGATTTTTAAAAATTAAATAAGAGGTCTTTTTATTTTTGCAAGATGAAACTGAAAATGTCTAACTTTACCTGATCCCTAAAGAGGGGGAAGGAAAGAAATTTGCTTTTGTCTTAGAAAATTCATGATGCTTAAGGCACATTATTAAGTACATTTTCTTGACTTCTAAAAATGAGCTCTGTGGGCTGATATTAAATCAGAGGTATGCTTATTGTGTGTAGTATAGAAAAGAAGAAAAGTAATTTTAAGTACATTTGCATCCCTTCATTTGTCTAAAATCCTAAATGTCCTGTTGTTATGGAAACACATTCCCTGAGCATCATATGTTAGGTATGTTTGCATTCTCTGTAAAGAGATTTCCAGTATTTGTCACTCTTGCCAAACCTCTATAGAAGAAAGCTGATTATTTAGAATTCAGCTAAAATACAAGCACCTGGCATATTTAGTCCACTACCTTGAACTGAAATGGAGCTGAAAGGCAGTATCCACAGCTACAGAATGAAAAGGAGGAGGGGACAGACAAGGTAGATAAGAATAAAATCAAAGAGGAGACTTAGGTAATACATACCACAAGACAAAATGGCATATTTCTTCTCTGTACTTTAGTAATGCTGATAAGGAAGGCTTACCAGTCAGGGTTCTTGGTGGAAAACAAAATCCACCCTAACTTGCGCAAAAAGGAGTTTATTGCAAGAACATCAAACAGCTCACAGAATCATGGGAAATGTCAGAGGTTTGGAAAACACCCACAAACCCAGAGAAGCTGAGAGGCACTGGTGCCAGGTCACATCACAAGAGAAGCCCAGTTAGGGAGACCTTACAGACATCAGGGACATGATGCCACCCCTGCTGGCGGCGGAGTGAAGCCCAACAGTCCTTGCTTCCTTGTGACACTCAGGCTAGATACAACGTTCTGGGGGGCATGGGATGGTCTTACAGGCTAAGCTCACGTTGTGTCCTAGTGGCCAGAGGTCCAAAGGATCTGATCTTTTCAACTCCCACAGTTGGAGGTGGAGCCCCCACCTCCTACCAGACATGAGGAGGCTTATGCGTTAGGCAGCCTGCCAAACACAAAGGTTCCCCCACAGAAGGTGTTCTTTTATGTTTATGGTTTATATATTCTCTTTCCCCTCAGAGAATGCATAAAGAGACTAAAGAGAAAAGGAACAGAATCAATGGATATGTAAAAATAAAGGAATTTAGACCACGGCATATGACTAAAAAGGCCTTAGGAGATTGTGGCAGAGGGGTGCTCGGAGAAAGGGAAAAAAATGCCTCCTGCTATTTATTATTCTTTTCCCTACATTCTTTTATGTTTTTATTTCTCCCTCCCCTTATGCATTTCTTTCATTCTCGAGAGTGAAACAGTATAAAAAGACTCTCCCAGCCCATAGGATTTCTAGAATTTGTTCTTTCATCTTCTTCTATCAGTTTTATTAGGTTTATACATAAAGGACAACTAGTATACAATGTTGAAAATCCTGACACGTAACTGGCTAAGGCACTAAAGGGAAGTCCTCCAAATCTCTCCAAGAAATAAGGAGTGCTTAAATTCAAGTGCTGTGGTGAGATGAGCCTTAACTCGGCTCATCCAAAATCCCACATTCAAGCCAAGGCTTTGCCTCTCAGAGGCCAAACTACTATAGCAAACCCGCCTAACCTCCATCTTGGTGCACAGGGTACCTAGAGTGACAAAAGATTACAGATGATTGCAGGTGAAAGCAGGAACCTGTTTCTTTGGGTTTGCTATTCATAAGGCTTTTAGACATTTTGTTAAAAGCAGTATAAACAGTTTTAATAAATGGTAAGAATTACCCCAAAACAGGGAAATATGCATATCCCAGAAAAGGCATAGGTAAGTAGAAGCCACAGTGCAGGGCCTGGCCTACTGGCCCTGAGGGGTAGAAGCAAGAGGGGAGATGCAAAGGTCCGAGCTGATGACTCACTCTTGTTCTCCTACCCAGACGTGCATTCTTCCTTCTTCTAGTGATAGCATCTTGACATCTCTTTAGAGAGCTAACCCGTCACCACTCAGAGTCTGCCCGGTTTGGGATGGATATTTCCCTAACCACCATATGGGCCCATGGGCCAGGCCTGGTCAGTCAGAGGATTCCATTCCCTTGGCTATATTAAGTGATTTAGTGATGAGTCCATTAACCCAAGCCAGACCATAGAGACACTCCCCAGATTCTTTGTTTTTGTTTTGGTGTCAGTTGGGTTTGGTTTGTTTGTCTGGTTTTGGAACTTTTGGGTTCCTTACCTCTGGAATTATCAAGCTTGTAAGATATCTGCCTGGGGATGCTGGGGACCAGCAGATGCAGAAGGCCTGCCTGGGAATAAGGCAGACACAGGGATGGAGACGGGAGGTGGAGAGGTGGGCAGGGGAGGGGAGAGGTGGGCAGGGGAGGGGAGAAAGGAGAAAAAGACTAGGTTCTAATGGCATCATTTGAGTACCTGAAGCCAGACATAACCATATACTTTTCAGGAAAATGGCCGGTATATTCTCTTTATTTTTACTTAAGCCATCGAGAGTGGTTTTCTGTGTCTTCTAATGTAAAGAGCCCTGAATCAGCCAGTGGAGAGGACTTGGAAGCAAACCAGTTCCAGTGTGGCCTTGCCGAGGGCCAGCTCTGATCACAGACCAAGTCTGCCTCTTCCGGACTCCCACCTTGTCAGCTGGTAGTTTAGGAGCTTTATCATTCAAGCCCCCGAGGGGCTGACTCACTGAAGAGAAACTATGAGGAAACTTGCAAAATTTTAGCAGTTTAGCCCTGAGCCAGAACCGTACTGTTGCTGATGAATCAAAGTTTCTGGGAACTAGCCATGGAGAACAGAGATATAACACAATTTCTGGAAATTTTAGAACAAAGACTTCTTACTGCTGCTGTTCTGCAGGTAATTCAAGGACCAGAACACCCTTTTCTGCCAGCCTAAGCTAACATCTGAAGTGCAATTACCATAGGAAAGAGAATCCCACGCCCCTGCCACTCCACATTTAAAGCAATATCAGGGCTTCCATGAACAGATGTCCAGAACAAGCAGTGCTCAGCTCCAGGGCCCCAAATGCATTGTAGTTACTTGAACAGCACCCCTGGAGTTGTGCCCTGTTCAACCTGCACAGCCGTATGCAATGATCCCGGCAGACACCCACTAATTAGAGGGAACATTAGCATCCCTGGATCATAAGCACAGAAGGAGTTTGCATCTGTGTAAACTCCAGAGCAGGGTGAGAGGGAAGAAACGCCATTTGCAGCACTGCAAAAACAACAAGAGCTTTTAGCATTTTGTGTCTTCAGAAATGAGCCTGCTGAGTGGCTGGTGTGAAACCACCTCACCCCAATCCTCTGAGCTGAGTGTGGGGTGGGATTTATGGCCAAGACACCTCAGCAGTCCATCCTGGTCTGAGCTCCTTTTCCCCAGGGGACTAAGTAGAGCAAACACTGAATACAATGGCTGTTTCTCAAGAAGATGTCTGGATTTTTAAGAAGAATTGCTGAGTCCATTTAGAGTAAATGAAAAACAGGTAAACCTAATTTAAACATGGGCCACAGTCAGAGCTTTGGGCTCCTTTTAAGCCCCTGGGAAGCCGTGGTACCCCTTTCCCTCCCAGACATGGGACACAGTGAGACAGGCTGAGACGGCCTGCTTGCATGCCGGGTCAGAGAAGAACGGCCCCAAAGCAGACTAAGGTCTCAAAGGCCAAGCGATCGACCTTCAACCTCAAATAGGGCAGAATTCTGGTAAGAATGCTATTTTTTTTCACTCAGAAGAACTAAAAATCCATTTTTCTTTCTGTCTTTTGTGAAGCTGCAAAATATTAAGCCATTTATTTTCTCTCTTACCGTAATGACTACAGGCAGTCTATTTGAACTCATGGGTGCAATTTGATTGGAGTTTTATTTTTTAAAACAATGAGGATTTCTAGTAGCTAATGATCTCCTCACCTCACTTGCATCTTTTCGAAGAAACAAATGTTTACCATGGGCGTCTGCACTGCGTTTCCAAGGAGGCACTGTTCCAAAATGAGAACTGCATTTCCAGTTGGCAGAGGTCCTTGTCTTCTCTCTGTCTCACTTACCGTGATGGGCTCTCCCAGCCCAGCATCAAATACGCTGCTGGTTCGCATTTGTGTAAATTAAACAGAAAAACCCTTTGGTTCCCTTTAGCATTTCAGAGGTAGGGATTATGGCTAGGAGATCATAGTAAAAACAGCCACATTTACTAAGCACATAAGATGTGCTTTACAGATACTATCTCCAATCTTAGAATAACCCAACAAGACAGGTAGGATAAGTCCCATACAGAATGATTTGCTGTCACATCTACCTGCGACTGAAGCCTAGGACCTTAGGCCATGGAATTACCAGGTCAACTCAACCACAGAAAAGCATCCTTAGCTCATGGAGAACTGGAATTGCAGCCAACTGACATCACACAAAGCCCAGTTCCCATGATGACTTCTTTGGAGATTCTGATTGTGCCAAAGTAATGGTAACCATTAGACTTATGATGATTACACACTAAGGAATGAGGCTTCACCAGCTTTGGTCAGTGAGCCCTGGTGACACTGTACACAGCAGGGACAGAGGAGGAGGTGATAGCCTGTAACAGATCAACACAGCAGTAGCAAAAAGCAGATGCCAATTTTCATAAAGGAATCCAGAGTCTGAAGACAGCCAAGTATACAATGCCCAGACATAAAACATTAAGTCAAAGAATGAGGCACCTAATAGATGCTTACAAGGTTATTTCCTGCCAGGTAATAAGAAGCAAGATCTAGATAGCAATAACTGCCTGCCGATGACATAGCACCTTCTCGAAACCATACTGATGAGTCTAGCAATGGCACCATAAGGATGTACAAGATACTGGGTAGTAAGGACTCCTTTACACTTCTGCTTCAAGCGAGTTAGCACCAGTTCACCAAAAATGTCTGACCAGTTATGGTTCCCACGACACTTTTAATATAGTGCTAGAAGATTATTAGGTGGCCAGAATAATGGGCATTATGTTACACTGCAGGCAGATTAGTTGAAGTATATTCAAGTTTAAGTTGGAGAAAAACTAGATGAATTCTGGAATTTTCTGGATTTTAGTTTTTAAACAGTGTTACAGATTTTGTCATACAAACACCTGTGTCTGGTTCTGAGTCTGAGCTATAAAATATTAAGCTTTGAGACATACAGGTGTCCTAAAATAAAACTTTTATTTTTTAAAAAACCTCAGCTTACTTTACCATTACATAAAAGACAAGGTTTCAACAGCTTCTTAAATCCTCTCAAACAAGCAAGTCAGCCTCAATGAGCTCCCAGCTCCCCACCCACCCACTTGCTAAGGGGGCCATATTAGCCTCGTGGTTGCCACCCCATACCTCTTGCTAAGTGACCCCAAGCCTGGAAATAGCAGCAAACAGCCTAGATTCACAGCTTGGCTTCACCTGGGAATCTCTAAGCCAAACACAAGTAGCAGCCATCTCAGCTTGCATATAGTAGCCAACTGAGGCAGGGTGAGCCCAGGGAGAACACAGGTGGGGGTTGACCTTCGCCTGCACCACCTGGTAAACCCCAGGACCAGTGCACCCAGTCAACAGCTGCAACCAGTCAGAGCATCACCACCCTGACCCTACACAGCTGATCCTCCATAGAGGGCAGAGGTTGGTA